ATTTGTTTTTTGTGTTATTTTTTTTTATTAACTGCATTTTCTTATGTATCACATATATTAGTGCATTGAGCACTTGGCTTAATTGCCTTGGTTTTTTGGTGGGAGGTGTTGAACGCGGAAATCATGTAGCTAGGTATTAAGAGTCCTTTTTGCCTAAGAAGTTTAATTGTTTATAACTTTTGCAGACTTATAAATGTTATGATGCTTTAGTCAACTAGAAAAAGGATTTCCAATGTTGTCGCAGGAATTTAATTATATATATACACATTTGATGGTTTTTAGTTATGCTAATTAAATATATATATGGTTTAAGAATGATCTATGGTGATTTGTTTTAGCTAGGGTTAAACATAATCTCTTTTTATATTCAGAAAAGGGTGTTACGAAATACATATATATATAGAGAGAGAGATGAGCGATCAAATAAAAACCGTCTCCATTTGTGTAAACCGTGTAAATCAATCTCACTCATCCATTTTTTTTATCAATGGTTAAGATTAATCAAGGTTATTTAAGAAAATTAAAAATAAAAAAAATTGAAAATAGATTTTATAATATCGATAAGGGCAAAAAGGTAAAACCAAATATTCATTTATTCAAGGAAACCATATCATTTATATCATATTATTAATGAAACTAATCTATTTTTTGTAAAATAATTTATTATTTTGACATTAACATTTTTATGTTAACATTTATTATTATTAATGAACTAACTTATTTTTCATCTTGCAATTATTTCATGACGAACCGCCTACATTATGCACCCGTTTCATTTTTCATTTCAGCTATTGCATGGATGATCTACACCATCACTGAAACGGGTTTCACCATGAAAGCAGTTCGCCACTCATTGTTTAATTACGCCATGAACCAGTTTCACCTTCATGAAACATGTTTCATGTAAATTAATTATTTTTATTTCACTCATGATTTGATGCATTCTTTTCTTTACTCCTTACAATTTTCAAGATTCTGGAGCAGATTACAATCTTCAAGATCCCGAAGCAGATTCATCATGTACCCGTTTCATCATGCAATTATTTCATGACGAACCAAATAAATTATGCACCCGTGTCATGTTCTATTTTTTCTACTAAACGGATTAACTACACCATCACTGAAACATGGTTCACCATGAAATGATTTCATATTACTCATGAATCAATTACAACATGACTCAGTTTCACCTTCATGAAACCTGTTTCATGTAAATTAATTTTTTTATTTCACTCATGATTTGATGCATTCTTTTCTTTAATTCTTACAATMTTCAAAATTCTGGAGCAGATTACAATCTTCAAGATCCCGAAGCAGATTTATCATGTACCCGTTTCATCATGCAATTATTTCATGACGAACCAAATAAACTATGCACCCGTTTCATGTTCCATTTTTCTACTAAACGGATCAACTACACCATCACTGAAACGTGGTTCACCATGAAACGATTTCATATTACTCATGAATCAATTACAACATGAACCAGTTTCACTTTCATGAAACCTGTTTCATTAACATTATTTTTTTAATTTGAATCATAATTTAAGATTTCATTCCATAATGCAATTCAATCTTCAAGACCCGTTTGCAGATTCAATCTCATAACAATATATCAAATTCAAAATTTTAATATTATAATATAATTAAATATTTAAATGTTACCATTTATACAATTTCCTTTATTATGTTTTCTTAATTAAGATTTATTAATAACTTACATATTTAATAAAGAATATTGTAAATGACCGAAATACCCTTGTTAATTAAATTTAATTAAAAAAATGGAATTTTCCTATTGGTCGAAATTGGTTTACACGGTTTCTTAGAAATGCACGGTTTTCATTTGAACGTGCCCCTATATATATATATATATATATATAGAGAGAGAGAGAGAGAGAGGAGCTGATTAAATTCAAACCACCCAATTTGTATAAATCGTGCAAATTATCCTCATCTGCCGATTTCAGTGTTTAATCTTATGAAATTTTTTCATGAAATTGTTTAATCTTGTGAAATTGTTTCATATAATACTTTTTTTGATAAGTTGTTATATATGGTTATGAAATTGTTTCATACAATACTTAATGAAATTTTAATAAATAAACTGTTTCATGTATTTCTCTAAATTAAAATATTGAAGATGATAATATCCATGATTAACACCCTACATAATAAAAATAATTAATCAACCTCTCAATTACAAAACAATGAACAAAATGAAAAATTATAATTGGTTGAATGAGATTTGTACGGTTTATACAAATAACGTGTTTTGCAAAGTAAACTTCCACTCTCACCCTATATATATATATATATATATATATACTAGAAGCGTACTCGCGCAATGCAGCGAGATATATCATGATTTTAATATTTTATTTTATTATTTATCTCAGTCGATGTTATAATATGGCTTTATGTGATTTTGAGAAAGCGATAATGTTGTTATTTTTGAATAAAATATATGTTTGAAGATATCATAAAAATTTGAC